CAGGACCCTCACATGCCCAAAGCTGCAGAACTTCTCCTCCCTTCTATAAAGTAGCACAGTATTTGCATATAACCTGTGTGCAACTTCCTGTGTACTTTAAAGGCTTTTAGATGACTTATGACCCTGAATACAGTGTAAATTGTTGTGCTGAACTGTTCAGGGATTTCTGACAAGGAAAAGAAAGTGTACAGGTTCCCTATAGACATAGTTTGTTTTTCAAAGATTTGTTGTTTTTATTTTTGGTACTGGGGGGAGATTTTGAGGGGATTTAGCTCAGTGGCTCTGCCACCTGCCTCGCAAGCGCAAGCTCCTGAGTTCGATCTCCAGTACCAAAAAAAAAAGATTTTTGATATGCAGTGGGATGAATCTGAGTATCTGGAACTGGTAGATTCAGGGGGCAAACTTGTATTTATGGGCTACATAAACATTATATATATATGCATAGTATATTAAATATAATATATACAATAAGCGTAATGTAAGCATAACACACATCTTTGTAATATATCCTTCTATAGCCTTTGTAAAATGTGCTGCTCTCAACCTCCCTACACGGGGGAAACAGAAACAAGGGATTATCCAAGTGGGATCATTCCCAAGTGGGCATGTTCACCTCCAGGCACAGGAGCCCAACGTGAATGGAGGTTTCCTCTCCTCCAGGGAGTGAGGGGGTTTGAGGGTCCCGCCCCACCCAAGCCCACCGTCCCGGCCCCAGGCCTCCCCGTCATGCTGGGAAGGACTTGGGTGGCAAAATGCACGCTGCAAGGACAGGCTGGGAACCGAGCCAGCCCTCCTCACTCTAGGCAGCAGTGGGCTCACACATTCCTGGGGTGACAGTGGGGAGGCAGAGCTTCCACTGCACAGTGTAAGCAGTCCCCCCAAAAGTCACTAATTACGGTAAGGTATATCTTAGTGCAACATTTTTAAAACTCAAAATTAATTCAAGAATCCATGATGAAACAAAACTAAACATAGTCTTGTCATAAGATCCCACAATCAAGCTCGCTGGAATTTACTCAAAGACGCTGAAGACTTCTGTCCACACAAAAAACCTACTCACGGATGTTTTTAGCAGCTTTATGCCCAACTGCCAAAATCTGGAAGCAACCAAGATACAATGCAGGAGGTGCGTGGATAAACTGTGACACATCTAGATGATGGAATATTATTCAGTGCTAAAAAGAAATGAGCTATCAAGCCGGGGAAAGACATGAAGGAAACTGAAATGTGTATGACTGAGTGAAAGAAGTCAATCTGCAAAGCTTACACATGATCTGACTGCAACTGTGTATCACTCTGGAAGAGGCAAAGCTACAGAGAGAGTAAAAAGCTTGGACGCTGCTAGGGGCCAGGCAGGGAGGGAGTGATAAATGGGGGGAGCACAGAGAATGTTAGGGCAGTGAAAAGTCTGCTTGGTATTCTAATGGTGAATATGCATCATAATTTGTCCAAATCTGTAGGATGTACAATACCCAGAGCGAAGTCTAATGTAGAGTACGGACCTTGGGTGCCAATGAGGTGTCAATGTAGGATCCTCAGTTCTTACCAATGCACTTCACTGTGAGCATGGTGGTGCCCAGAGAAGCTGCAGGTGCCCTGAGACAGGGGACCTACAGGAGCACTGGGCCTTCCTTTCACTTTGCTGTCAACCTGAGAGTGTTTGGAAAGAATACAGGCTTTTCTTTTAAAACAACCTAAGATGAACAAATCAAAATTTCAAATAAAGATCAAAATGGCTTTGAAGGAGATCTTAAAATTCTGTGGATTAAGATAAATGACAATGCAAAGATCCCCAAAGACAGCCAGGACCTCCAAATGGCCCGACAATGGGTTTCTAAGAGGTCATAGCTCTAAGTGTCCAATGTGCATGCTCCAAGTCCTCAGGAGGTCACAGCTGAGCTTCCGGGGCACCAAAGTGCCCGGGGACTTTGCTGCTAGTTGGCCTCTCTGCAGAGCGCGGCTCTACCCAGGACCCAGAGTGTCTGTGTGCTACATAAAGCCAGGCTTTCGGGGGTTTCCCCAGAGACAAGACGGAGCGAGGCCGCTGGAAGGGAGATTATGTTCAGACTCCCCATGACTCACATTTTCCCCTTTACTTCCCATCCCATCAACAGGATTCCCCAGCAGGGCCCAGAGTGATGGGAAGAGGTTCCCCCATGGGCCACAGAGGGGCACTCCAGGGCAGCTCCACGGAGCTGGCACAATCTCCCTGTCTAAAGCCACAGCTTCCCTCATTTTGGCAACCTTTGCATTTCTCTCCTCTCCCTGTGTTCCTTTGTTTCCATCCAGAAATTGTGAAAATCCCAAGCCACAACGCCCCTCATGGAGATGGCAGAACAAACACCCCGGCCACATTGTTCAAGCTGCTAGGACAGTGTGCTCACTGGCACTTTGCCCCAGTGGGCTTGGAAGGACTGAGAGTTTGGGAGAAACGCAGTCACCCTCAGCAGTCTCTACCCCAAGGCTGCCACCAGTTCCTGCAGCTCCTGCCCCAGGCTTGGTTCCTGAACCCTGCAAGTCTCTACGTGCCCTGCTACCTGCCTGGCTGCCAGGGAAATTCCTGGTTTCACACAAAAGCCCCATTGTCCAACAGCCTCAAGGCCCCTGGGTTTGGAGAAGGTGAAGGAAGAGGCAGTCCTTATCACCACTCTATTTTGCAAAGCAGAGGCTATTTCGGAAGCCCCAACCTGCATGCATTTCCTGCAAAGCAGGAAGCAGAAAGTCCTCCCCAGGCCCGTAGAAGCAGTGGGGCCAAGAAAGAGCCAGGAGTCCAGATGCACAGTAGCAGGCAGGTGTCAGTCACTTTCCGGCAGCCCTGGCCCATGCACCCCAGGATGTATTCCCCCCACCCCACCCCAACACAGAGTCCCTGTGCCTTCAAGGAGTCCCTGTGGGGTTACGGAAACCAGAGGCCCAGCTTTGTTGCTCCTCCAATTCAATTAACCGTGCAAGCTCAAACACACGCTGACCCGATGAGCAGATGTTCTGTGGCCCTCCTCCCTCATTTATGAAATAAGAACTCTGGATTATTAAGCTAAGGGCAAGGATGTCAGATTTAATGCTAAAAATTAGTATCGAGCACTTGCTTTGGCAGCACATTCCCTGCAACTGGAATGATAGAGACTAGCTCGACCCTGCTTAAGGGAGAAGGCAAATTCGTACAAGTCTCCCACATGTTGACCGACCCTATTATGTACATTTATGGACAACTAGAAAGGAGCCGAGCAAAGCCTCCTAACACAAAGTAGTGATAAGGAAACGGAGGCATTAGTTAGGCTGATTTGACTGGTACATGTTGTATACAAGGTTGGCACATCACACTCTACCACAGAAATGGGTACCGTTATTATGTGTGCGTCACAACTTACAAAGATGTAAGAAGACAGGAATGGTAATTACTAGGACTTGATCACTATGCATGTATTGAATTGTCACACTCTACTCCACAAATCTGTACCATTACCAATGAAAACTGACCAGACACAAGGAAAAAGTACTAACATCAGAGATAGAAACAGTATTTTTTTGGAAAGCCGGGACAATTCTAAACCCAGTCTGCCCTGGCCATCCCCTCCAACTGAGAAAACAGGATAGAGGTAGCATCTCACACTGGTCCTTCCATCCAGGCTTCCTGCGATGCACTGGCTAGGTGCTGCCCGGCAGAATTCAGCTGTCTCCTCCATAAGCCAGACTCTGAAGACTTTCTCGAGTCTCTCCTCCACCCGACCCCATCTATCTGCAAACACAAGGACCAAATGGGAACCTCTGAAAGTCAGGTGAAGGGTATGAAATGCCAGAAGAATTGAGAAAGAGGGCTAAGACTTGTACATTTTCTTAACGGTCCAAAAAATGAAAGAAAGGAAACAAGCCGAGCAAGATAGCAGGTGAATTTCCAGTACAAAAGAGCAAGGATAGGCGCACAGGTGAGAAGGAGGTCCTTCCAGCTCTTGGAGAGGCTGCTCGAAAGGCAAAGTGGGGCCAGCACATGCCAAGGCCCTGTCGTCTCCTCTGCGGCGGGGAGAACAGCCCTGTGCTTAGGGCTTATACCCACATAGGAGGCACAATGGTCACACTGTCCTCCTGCCTGGAGCCATTTGTGTCCTCCGGCAGACTGCCAGACAAGTGGGGTGAGGCCTGTGAAAACCCAGCCACAACCATCCTGGATCCTGCGACTGACAGGATACTGGAGTTAGGTGAGCCTCGTTCTACAGTCTGTCCTCTAGCACTTCCTATCCCAGGAACCTAGGCAAGGAACAACTCTTGGCTCACGTTGCTAATTCTACCCAGTTCTGAATGTGCCCAGCCTCCAAACAGCTTGGATTTTACCTGATTCTCAGCAAATCCTCAAAGCCTGATATTTGCTGTGGTATGGATCTCAAATGTCCCCCCAAAGCCAACATGCTAGAGGGCTGCTCACCAGCCAGTGGCGATGTGGGGAGGCACTAGAACCTCTAGGAGGCGATCTATAGTAGGCAGAAGTTCATCTTTAGGGCTGTACCCTTAAAGGGGACGTCGGGGCTCCGGTCCCTTCCTCTTTCTCTCTGCCCCTCAGTCATGTTTGCTGCACTATGTACTCCCACCGTGGCATTCTGTCTCACCACAGGCCCAAGGGAACCCCGACTCACCACAAAGCTTTCTTCCATTTAAGTTGTCATTTCAGGTGGTTTGTTACAGCAATGCAATGCTGACTAACCCAATACCAAATCAATGAAGTTCCTTGGGATTAGTGTTTTTACAAATCAAGATCAAATCATGTATATAGTTGCCAATTAGTTTTCTTTGTTTTTACTTTGTCCTTTGCTATGTGTTATGACTCAGTGTGGATTTGTGTTTACACAAATTTTATTTGTATGATTTCATGTTAAACCCCAAATAAATGCTTCCTTATGTGATTGTTAAAAAAAAAAGATCAAATTAGTATTTTAACGCAGGGTATGTGTTCAGAAGTGCAAACGTACACACTTGTAGTCAGGCAGCGGAGCCCGCCTCCTGCAGCTTACCCAGAGATCTCTCCTTTGTCTGGTTGGCCGACCTCACCACCGGAAGGCTTGCTCGAGTGCGGCTGCCTCTGGAGAAAGGGCTCGGCACTTCACCCTCAGACATGGCTTCCAGAGAGTCCCCAGATGTCTCCGACAAGTGCTCCGCCAGGTCACCCGAGGTGGGAGGCTGAGGACTGTGAGACAGTTTGGGGCTTCTTGTCTGCAAAGGATATTTTAAAGAAAGCGGGAAAACAGAATTATTCATTATGCTGAAAATATTTTCAATGTCCTCTCTGCCGATCTGAAAAAAAATAATACAATGAGGGGGGAAAATTCCATCAGGAGAGTGAAGGGGGAACACAAAGACCCAGTGGGGAAGTATCAGCTGTGGAAATGACTGGAAAAAAATTATCCCCGAGTATTCTGTTAAGATCTCTTTTTTTAATCACAGAAAGTGTTAGTTACTTTTCTCTTGTTGCTGAGACAAAATACCCGACACACCAAAGTTCAAAGGGGAGCGGTTTGTTTGGCTCACAGGGCGTAGAAGTTTCAGTCCATAACCAGCCGGCTCCAAGGCAGAGTAGCAGAGGGGCAGCAGTTCTTGGCAACGGAAGACACCAAAAGCAAAGAGAGACCCTAACAGGGTCTTCCAGCCCCTGTTATCCATTCAGACTATTCAGGGCAGGTAGCACTCACACCCTTAATCCACCCCACCACGAGTCAATCACACACTCTAGATGCAACGCCTCTGCAAAAGCAGGAGGCTTTGGGGGAACATCTAATCACAAGCCATAATTCTGAACATCTACCTTACGAATGCCATTTCAAGCAGGGAGCTGAGGACTAGCACACATCTCGGGAAAGAATGATGGCAAATCAATTGCTTCTGCCAGACAAATTCTCACAGTTGTTATCACAACAGATGGGATTGTGCACATTTCTCTACAGCCAACATGGACTGTGTACTCACACCAGAGTAAACTGAATGCAACCAGTCTTTCTAAGTCTTAGATCAGACTGTTTCCAAAATCAGTAAACTAAGATGTTGAAGGGAAATGTTTACGTCACTGCTGAATATTTTTGAGGCAGAAATCCTTTGAGATTACATCTGCTTTGGATATTACCTTGCTAATCAACAAAAGCATCTGTAATAACTTAACCTATTCACAGGATACCTAATTGAATTTTCCTCCCAGTTATCTATGCAGTGATGGCAGTAGCTGAGTGTGTGAAGTCCTTCTAATCTGTTAGTCAATAATATTATTTGACATGAACTACATACAGGGTGAACCCTGAGAAAGATTCGGAAGAACTGATGCGTTGGCTAACATCAAAGAGTTTCTAAACCGATGAGATGTATGTGGAACAAATAATAGAAGGCAATGTACACCTGAAGGGGGAGACCATGAATTGTGTGCTTTATCCACCCATTCGTGCAGTCCCCTGCTGTGTCAGGGCACTATGCTAGGTACGGGGACAGGCAGGACCCGCCCTGGGCCCTGGTGCTATCTGTCCTTGGGCAAGGAGACACACATTAAAGGCGAGTTAGAGCTGTGGTGGGGGTGGATGGAGGGTGGGGCTGTGCAGGGCAGAGTCAGAGGAGCACATTCACTCCGACCTCCAGGAAGGGGCAGCTGGGGGAGGCTGCAGTCCAGAGGGTAGGGATAGAGAGGAGGGCATCCCGGTGGGGCTGTAGGGAAGTCCCCAGGGCAGAGACAAGTAGGGACACTGGGGGTTCAGGGGGGCAAAGGCGAGATGGCCCACAGCCTTGGGACTGTGGTGTGAACTCCCAGCTTCAGCCTACGGCCACACCACCCTGAGCGCCCGACCCCTCCGCCTCTCAACTTCACTCCGAGGCAACAGAGCACCACTGAGGTATTTAGACGGGAAAGGGGTGAGGGACAGGCAGGGCCTGATTCATATTTTAGAGAACTGCTCTGGCTACTGTGTGGTGATACATGTAGAAGGGCGGAGAAAGGATGCTAGGAAAACTGGGATTTTGCCACATGACTACATCACCTGAGCTTCCCCTTCTCCCATGACCCACCCCTGACTTGCGGTCCATGATTCCAGCACCTCCTTCGAGGCTAGCAGATCTGAAGTAACCAGGCAGCTGAGCTTTCTCTTACTGGGACGTCCAAGGTGCTAGTGGGCTTCTGTTAGGATGCTGGCAGTTCCCAGGAGCTGGCTGGGTTTGTCTGTCAGCTGCATTCTTTAACTTCCTTTCATCCTTCCCAAGGCTGCCCGTGCAGTTTGAAGCTAAGTGCAGTTTGAAGCTGAACGCTTACAGGGCCAACTTCCAGGGGCACAAGCAGTGCAGTCACTCAGGGCTCTGCTCTCCGAAAGGTTTGTGCTCGGTTTCATGTTCTGGTGTGGCCGACTTGAAATTCTTAACCATTTTTTGTACAGGAGACCCTGAAAATTCTATAGCAAGTTCTGCCTTGAGGCTTTGGCTTGGCTTCTGCTCTTTTGAAGGATGCCACAAGTATGCCTCATACTCCAGGAGACCTCTCTGAGGATGGGATGATCAGTTTCTTCCCCTCTTTCTTGATAGAAGTACAGAGACCCCTCTCTGCAGCAGCACTGTTTCACTGCTTGCATGCCCACACCTTGGGACACCTCTTAGGACCTGCCCATTAAGGGAAACGGGAATCAAGTCATTTCTTTCCTTTCTGTGTCCTTAAGGGATGTGGCTTTGGGGAGATGCCTGGATGTTCCACGGGAAACTCAGCCAATCAGATTACAAGCCAAGATTATGGCCAGAAAGGACACCCATTAATAGGCAAATTATCTCTTTTGGTTAATTTTTCTGTGTAAGTTTCCAAAGTAGTTTATTCCCAGGTTTATTTTTCATAAAGTCTGTTTCCATTATGGGGATCTGGCTTTGGCACTCTTTAATAACAACTATTATTTGACTAGGAAAATCATCCCTAAATCCCTGCTTAGCTCACCAAAATTTAGATAAATTCATGCGGTCTTCAATGAAGTAGCTTCCTACTTACTATGCTCAGCAGAATATCTAGTTAAGATGTTCCCATTCCTAACTTTAAAAAAATGAGACGTATTTAGTTTAGAAGACGGTCAAGAAATCATATTCCTTTAAGCAGTATGGCTCCATTTGCTATATCTGATGTTCTCGGTCAACTTTGAAGCCTATGGCAGGCACATTACATTTGATGACTTGTCATTTTCCATTGCAAAAGGCAATAATCCTTGAAGAAAATAAAAACCAAATCTCTGTTTCTTGTTCAGGGTCATCATGGTGGTAGGTAAGTATAAAAATAGAAATACAGGGCTAATCTGTTTTCCCCTGACTTCCTGCATAGCTCTTCAGTTCCAAATGGACACTCCCCTTGCTTTTTATGTCTTTCAGTTTCTCACTGAAAACTATCGCGGCATATTAGCAATCTCCTCACACATGGTACCCTCCTTCTGAGGCCAGCTTGCTGAGACATCATCTAGTTCAGGGCAAAGACAATGGAAACGGCTGGTGTTAGGGTCAGATAGCCTGTGATCTGACACAGTGAGAAAAAAGGCAAAAAGTGTTGGGAACGGAACACTGGATGCAGCACAATGCCAGGCACTGGGGGTGACAAGTACTACGCATGGTTCTTGGGCTTGTAAGGTACTTAAGGTGTATGATAAGTGTTCACTCTAAAATAAGGTTAATGTTCTCCCTCTCTCTCTCTCTCTCTTGGAACACACTTAACCCATCATTCCTGCACTTTCTGAAGCAGTTCCGGAAGTCCTCTTCCATGAGCATCTTCACTTGCACTGTCTTCGCTTCCTTGGTCACTGCCAGAATTGATTCAAAATGTTGACCGTTCATGGTCACTTTGACTTTGGGGAAGAGCCAGGAGGCAGACAATGTCAGTTCAGGTCAATCAGGTGGATGAGAACACACTGTAATGTTTTTATTTGACAGAAGTTGCTGTAAACATTTTGAATCAATTCAGGATGCTGGGACAGTCAAGCAAAGACACGCAAGAGGACTTCCAGAACTGCTCTGGAAAGAGGCAAGGGTGATGGGATAAGTGTGTCCAGAGCAAACAGGAGGACTTTGAAAAGAACTCACAGGGATGTCTTTTACTGTAATAAATCATTTTTAAAAGTTAAATATTCACCATAGCTTTTGATCACCCTACATACATGTTCACTGTCAGAGGAGTGGATAGACAACATGCAGCACACATGCCCAGTACTATTATCCATAACAGCTGGACAAGAGCTAAGGGGTGTGTCACTGTGATATGGAAGGGGCTTGGGGGAATAACGCCTGACATGAATGTATCACTGTGTACTGCGAACACGTATAAATAAAAGTAAAAATTTTAAAAAAGAGCAGTGGGCAGAGGAGACAGAACTCAGGCAAGGGAGGTGCTGATTGGCTGCCCTGAGCTGAATGGTGAATGAAATCTATGGTTTCTGCTGATTAGACCACGCAGTTACCCCTGATCTCAGCGGGACCAACCAAATTCTTTCCCCTGGAAACACTGACTCAGACAGATGCAGAAGTGAGGTCACTTCAGGCTGGTCTAAAGTGGACGAGGGAGGTGAACAGATAAAGCAGATCTGTGTAGGGACATGGAGGTGACAGACGTGTCGACTTTAATGAGCCAGCCCTAGGACACGGAGCAGCTTCTAGGCTTGCCACTTTGTTTCCAGACCACTGTGAGGCCTTGTCAACTAAGTCCCCCAATTAGTTCACCTTTGTCCCTACCTTAATTTGCGATGACTGTGTGCATGCAGAGGAGCTATCGGGGACACCCACCAACTCTAATTGTTCCTTCTCTCCAGGCCGCTATGGTGCTCATAATCTGAGTAATAACCATGAAGAAAGCTTAGCTCTCTGAGCAGTAATTCCCATTATTTTCTATTTCAAGGATTAATGTTTTACATATACATAATTGGTGCATGGTTACAATCCAGGAATGCTTTTATTTTGCAAAGTTAAAGGCATTGAAAAAAAAAAAAAACATGGCTGGGGTGTAGCTCAGTGGTGAAGCATGTGTTGAGGGGCAAAAGAGGGAAAATATAGATCGGGCCCTTGCTGCACTGTGCCAGGTGACGGATACAGGCTTATTTTCTCTTAACCCTCGTGGCACCCTCACAGAACTGAGATTTTCCACAGAGTATATCCCCATGGCACCTGCTCTGTAAAAATAGGTAGCAAGGCAGTGCTAAGATCTAGTTTTCTGCCTGGTATTAACTTGTAAAAAA